AGAGATCCAATCCGAATCCGGGCGGCGGCCAAGAATAATATGTGTCATCGGTGTGTTAGTCGCGCAACAACGTTCATCGATTCGCAATCGAAAAGATGAGGATTATATACACATAACTCTAACCGGTTGATCGTGACCGGCGCATCCGCCATCGCACTAATAATTAATTGACTCTTCGATTAATCAAATTAACTAACTGATTGTAAATTGATCGCTATATTAAGGACTTTACTATTAAGTATAAATATATATTATACAGATATTATAAAAGTGTGGATTCGCTGTTGAACGTGTCGAATAAACAAAGCAAAAAAGAAAAAAAGAACAAAATCCAAGAGTAAGTAAGCGAGTAAGAGAGCTTGAGCCGGGGTTGCCGGCCTCCGACATATTTTTTAATCGCTTCGAACCTCTATTATTCTACCTACTAATTAAACGTAATGGTGTATCTACGTGTGCGTTCGAACGATCGGTCGATCCGTATCGTGGATCCGCGTTAACTCTGTCGTCGATCGGGTCGCGATCGCTCGGGCTATCGAGATGTGTTCTGTATCGAATTAACGAATGTATACTTCTCGAATATTCATCGCTCCTACGAAATGTCGCGGGATAAGGAAGGATGACGGATGCTCGTCGATAGATGATAACTTGAATGAGAAAAAAACAAAAAATAATAAATTTTTTCCTTGCTCCTTTGCCGCCCGATCCTAACGAAGCCCACGCAGATCTCCAACGGACGTTATATTGGGTGCTCAGTGGATACCCGAGTATCCCGCAATATGTAAATCTGTATGTCTCTGCTCGTACTACTACGATATTTTATGTGAAAAATGAATTGTTACAAAATACATTACTGATATAACACCGAAAAAGATGGTATTCTTTACCCGAGAAAAGAAATTTCTAATGATACGATAAATAGGGGAGGGAATGTATGTGAATGTGCGTGTATACGGCATACTCGGCGCTCAACTTGTCGAAAACTATGCATGTATTTATGATCTCTATCCCTTGGTGTAATGTCATACCACCTTTTTATAACAAACTGTTATACGAAGGAGCGTAATGGTGATTAATAACGCTGCGGGATATTCGGAGGTCTAGTAAATACTTGATGAACATTCAATGAATATGTAGGCCGATATTTCTTGAGAAAAACAATATTTTTTTTTTTAAATCACACATACATGCATAGATTTTGTAGTACTGGATGTGCCTTTTGATTAAAATTGAGGTCCGAGTTTGATAGAGCGAGAGAGTAATGTTCTGTCCTTCTGTTTCTATATGATAGAGCGATAAAGCAATATCTTGTATCCTTCGTGTACTTTCGGAAACTAAAGGATACGACACATCCACTGTCTCTTTCCATCTAAAGGAAAACATGTATCCAATACTATAAGATCTATGCGTACACGTGTGTACGATCGATCGAGAAAAACAGACAGATGGATCTCGCTCGAAGAGTTGGAAGACGCGTTTCGAGAGCTCGTACATGTCAAGAATTTCACTTGTCCGGATGTATGCGCAATCGCGCGAAAATCCGACATCCTCGCCCGTTTTCCACATTTCCAAAAAGGCTAACATTTTAACGAGCTAATCGTCTAGATTATTATCGAAGTCAGCTAAGAATAAACAGACAAAGTGCGCGTTTATTATTAAAGAATCGCTAAGCGTAACTAAATTTCTAAACTGCTGGACGTACGATCGTGTGTTGTTTTAAAGAAGAATAATAGAAAAAAATTAATATAAAACATTAATGTAAAACAATTGCTGCTTTGCACACAAGAGTGAGACCAGTATGGCGATGATTGTCTCGAATCGACAAGACCGAAAAACGAGGAATCCGATCGGGCGATCCTCGATTGAAAGGCAAACTTGCGACTTTTATTCTTCGATCATTCTTGATTGCGTACGATTTCAGTTCTCCTTCTTCATCTCGATTTTGATTTCGCGATCAACGAAATTCGCGAATCAGAAAAAACGACAACTATCCGAAAGCTCGCTCTTTGCGATCGCGTTCAAATCTATCGGCTGAATTTTTATGACGGACAGGATTATGGAAACTTTTCGATATTAAACGAATGAAATTTTAGCATAGCTTTAGGAATACTCCTTTTACTGAGAAATTCGAGAAATTTTGCAGTTTGCTATGCGAATGTAATTACAAGAGATTAGCACTAGAATAATTTTTCAAAAAATAAATGGTTCCGTAGGGCTGTGTCGGAAGAAATCGTCGTATTCAATTTTCGCCGTAGGGGCCTTTCGCGTTTCATCGCGAAGGAAGATCGGAAAATAAATGTCGTTCTATCGCGTTCTTGTATTACCTTGCCGATTGCTTCAAAGAGAAACAAGGAAGAAGAAAATCTGTAATGGAAATCAGATATCAAATCGCTACGATAGAAATTCATGCATTTTTTTCTATGAGTCAACTTTTGCCGTTGTCCCATTACTAATCACTCTTCCGCTATCGTTGTGAAGAAAAATAAATTGAAACACGAATGAAAGGAAATAATCGCGAAGTATCGTCTCGAGAGAGAAGATTTAGAATTAAAAAGGAAACGAAAGAATGAAACAAATTTCGGGCGAAACGACAAACGGAACGAACAAAGCCACATCTCTCGCATGTCATCTCTTTCTCTCTCACGCGTGAGAGAGAAAGAGATCCCTCATGTAAATTTTAAATATTTAAACGAATTCTGTGGAGACAGAATTTTTTCTTTCCCCGAACTCATTTTGCCTGACTTATTGGCAGTTTGTGTCAAAACAAGAAATAAATAATAAATTCGTTAAACGGGTTGCGTTTGTCATCCTGCTTCTCCCTTTACCTCGTTACCATGAAAAATTTATCGCGCGGGATATTTTAACTTTTAAGATTAAAAATTTTTAATTCAAATCTTTAATCATTTGCATATTTTTGAGAGCATCTTTATTATATTTCTCACATATAGTCTCAATTATTCTAATTTATTTTAATTTCCAATGTAAACCAATGATATACTCTGCTATTAATACATAAAATTACTTTGATTATTTTCACGAGCCTATTAAAAAGTGGGAAAGAGTATTTCTTGTAATAAACAAATGTAATGATAAACAAAAATATATAATAATAAACAAAATTTGAATTTCTAACTCGAAGTAATATTACAATTACAACATTCTTCACATTGAAAGGAAGAATGACTAGCAAAAATTGAAGATTATATAGGAATAGGAATGAGCAGCAAGAATATGATGGTGTCCTCTTCCGAGGACGTTAACGAATTAAAAAAATAAGATATCCGCAAGAGTTGGTATAGTAGCGCCATCTCTTTTGAAACTGAAACATCCAATTGAAGCGCTCGCATCAAGAAATTCTAACCTGTCCTTTAAAGGAGTGTTTAAAAAAGTGTTAGCTCATTGTGTGAATATCGTAGTTTCTTATATTAATATAATTCACAATGCCGCTGGAGAATTTGGAAGAGGAAGGTTTGGAGAAGAATCCGAATCTGGAATTGGCGCAAACTAAATTCCTGTTGGGTCTCCGCGAACACATGGATGATACCTTCTTAAAGACTAAACTCCTAGATGCCATCAAAGCCGAAAGTGAGACTGCATCTTTTTCTCTCTGCTTGTTTTGTATTATTTCTAAAACTTTGATGTAATTTTTGATAGTGCCATTTGATTTCGAGATAAATCATTATTTTTTTGTTTTCTTTATATTGACTGTCAGATCGTCATCTGCTCGAAATATAACCTCTGATATTGTTATAGCTAATTTATTAATTATTTAGTAAGTCTCATTACTTTCTAATATCTATTTATTTTAAATAAAATGTAAAAGAATAATGGCATTTTTTTTAATAGATATGGCTCCATTCTATGAAGAAGTTTGTAAGGACTTGAATTGGCCAGTAGACGAAGCGCTTCTTGCAACAATGAAAGCACATAATGCGGAGCAGTTGAAAAAACTTGATGACGCTATCGAAGATGCTGAGAAAAATCTAGGCGAGATGGAAGTTCGAGAAGCCAACCTAAAGAAATCTGAATATCTTTGTCGAATAGGTGATAAAGAAGGTGCAATCTCAGCGTTTAGGAAAACGTATGACAAGACAGTTTCATTAGGGCATAGATTAGATATTGTATTTCACAATATTAGGATTGGCCTATTCTACTTGGATCACGATCATATTACCAGAAATATTGAGAAAGCTAAAAGGTTAGTAAAAACCTCTAAAAAATTTGATGTATTTATCATTAAATACTTTATAGTAATCGATATGTCTCCGGATTTTTACAGCTTGATAGAAGAAGGTGGCGATTGGGATAGACGAAACCGTTTGAAAGTCTATCAAGGAGTATATTGCATAGCAGTTCGTAATTTCAAGGAAGCTGCAAATTTCTTCTTAGACACAATCAGTACATTTACCAGTTATGAGCTCATGGATTATAATACATTTGTAAGATATACAGTATACTTAAGCATGATAAGTCTCCCGCGGAACGAATTGAGAGACAAAATCATTAAAGGATCTGAAATATTGGAGGTTCTCCACAGTAATCCAGATGTTAAAGATTATTTGTTCTCATTGTATAATTGTCATTATGCGGATTTCTTCAAAAATCTTGGTAAGTTTGAAAATTGAGACATGTTGAACATTGTTATAATTATAATATGTTGTATAATGTCGTTTTTATTAAGTTTTGTATGATATATTAATATTCTATTATAATTATTAAATATTCTTAATAGTAATTATTGTTACAAAAGTGGCTAAAGTCTTTGAAATCATAGATCTCAGAAATTTCTCACATTTATTTTTAAACATGTAAGAATGAGAGTTGAGTCTGAATCTGGTACCATTGATTATTAATCAGATTCTAGATATTGGACACACATGTCACTCTAAATATTCTTATAAATACTTAGTATAAAATTGTTTCTATTAGATAAATAAAACTTATAATAAACATTACTTATATAAAAATGACACATAAAGAATCTTATAAAAACTTATAGGCACTTAAATATGAATAACATGGTATTCAATGTATTAAATTTTATCTTATCTTTGATAATTATTGAAATACTCTTTTAGCACACGTTGAAGGATTGCTGCGTCGGGATTATTTAATATTTCCTCATTATCGATATTATGTTCGGGAGATGCGAATTCTCGCATATACACAGTTATTGGAATCTTATCGGTCTTTAACCCTCCAATATATGGCTGAAGCATTTGGTGTCACAGTGGAATACATCGATCAGTAAGTGATTTTTTTACCAATTTCTATTTAATAGTATCATTTTGTTGCTATTACTAATCTCAACGCAATTATTTAATCAAAATTATAAAATTACTGTTCATAGAAAAATCGATTACTGTATTTAAATCTATTAATATCTTTTTTATAGAGAATTGTCACGCTTTATAGCAGCAGGCCGACTGCATTGTAAAGTTGATCGAGTTGGAGGTGTTGTCGAAACGAATCGACCAGACAGCAAGAATTGGCAATATCAAGCAATGGTGAAGCAAGGAGATCTTCTGCTCAATAGGGTGCAGAAATTATCGCGCGTTATTAATATTTAATTTCATATATTTTGTATAATCAGAGAATATATACTATTGTCTTAAAAACTGATCAAGATCGTCTATATGAGTATTTACTAAAATATACTAAAAAAATCTGTATGTCGAGTTTTAACTCAAATTTTATAACAAAGAAAGCTAAAAATATCATATTTGATTTTGTAAACATACATGAATATTCTTCGCGAAATGAGCAATATGATTTATTTACATACTACTTTTGCGCCCTGAATATTCCCAACGTCACTGAGAAAACGTCACGTCAGAAATCAGTACGTTATAAATCGTTGAACATTATTTCAAGAAATTTTAAATAGTATTAAATAGTATTAAATTCTTTTCGAGATTAAGGTAAGTCTGAACATTAACTAATTGGTTTTTTTTTATATAATTAATAAAAACCGAATACAGTATCATATAATTCAATGGAATAAATAAAACAATATATACGATATTCAATAATTTCTAATATATAATGTACATTATTAATCGAAAATATTTATATATATTAAAAAATGATCTTAAGAAAATTTATATCAGGTAAGCACTTAAAATAATAAAATTACTGTCATTCCGATACATTTCTATTTAGAAAAACAATTTTGAATGGGAATAAATTTCTTTTTTCTATTACATTAAATGTTTTTATTATAATTATGCATATATATTTTTATCATAATTTAACATAATTAAACAAACATAGTTACCTTGCGTACGTAAATAAAAATTGCCATTAACATTCGAGATGTGTATATATTTAATATTATAAACAATTATAATATTAATGTTGTGAAAAGGTTAGTTCATGAAAGTTATTGTTTTTAGATTTCAATTCTGAGATTAAATGATAAAATATATATATTAGATCTAAAATGTTAGGAAAACAATTAATCAATATTTATCAATATTTGTAGAATTAAAAATTTATGGATATGTCAGAAGTATTGTTTGTAGAAAATTCTTAAGAAATACTATAGAAAACAGTTACTAAAATTATATTGAAAGTGAACAAAGTATTATTGGCAGATTTGCTTTCGCATATTATTTATTTTTATTGCATATTTTTCAGGAACCTTTATACATATCAAATAAAACTATTTGCAAAGTTTACAAAGATCAGGATAAAATCTCAATTTTTAATAAATGGCTTATATGTTAGGTGTACAAAAAAATTCTGAGCTTTTTTTTGTAAAATTCAATCTTTATTCAAAAACAAACAAAAAATATTAATCAGCGCAATATTCTCCGTTTGCATCAACGACCTTTTGCTCTTTCGGATAACTTGCGAATTCCTTGATAGAAGCTTCGAAACGATAAAGTCAATGCATTTTCGTATCTCTTCTAATCTCACGAAATGTATATCAGCCAAATGATGCTGTAGCGACCGGAATAAGTAGTAATCGGAAGGCGCTATGTCTGGGCTATACGCCGCGTGCGGGAGAAGTTCCCAGCCTAACACAAAGATATGGTCCTGAGTCGCTTTCGCAACATGTGGTCGAGCATTGTCATGAAGCAAGATCACTTTACGATGTCCAGTAAATGGCCTCTTTTCTTCTTATGCATCGCTCAAATTGGTCAATTGTTGTTGGTAGCGGTCTACCGTGATTGTTTCACCTGATTGTAACAACTCGTAATACAACACACCTTTCCAATCCCACCAGATACAGAGCAAAACCTTCTTAGTGTGGATATTGGGCTTTGGTGTCGATGTCGAAGGTTGATCAGAGTCAACTCATGATTTTCTACTTTAGGGTTTAGGGTTATCATAAAGAATCCACTTTTCATCGCCTGTAATGATTTTGTGCAGAAAATCTTTTTTCCGCTTTTTTCTTTGAAAGCAAAGTGAGTGCAGTGTCAGGCCAACAATTTTTGTCTTCGGACAATTCATACGAAAACCTATCTGCCTTCCTTCCGAACCTTTCCCATCGTATGTAAACGTACGGAAATGATTTGCTAATGCCAAGCTGTTCTGCAAGCTCCTTTTCAGTTTGCGCAGAGTTTATATCCAGCCTCCTTTATAAAAAAGGAAATGTTAAATCGATACTCGCATATCTCGAAGTTTATTGTTGGCTCTTTTCCGTGATTGATTATTTACTGTTGCTGATTGGCTTGATACTCTTGCGACACACGATAAAGTTTATTGCGTCATTTTGCGTAGTTTCGCAAATAAAAAGATATTTGATTAAAATAACACCTGATATGGCTTTAAGATACTTGTAAAAATGGACCGCTGCTATCCTTTCCCTTCCTGATGTCAATAAATTCTGTAAAAGGCATGTGAAATGAAGCCTGTTTAAGCAGAAAACACACGATTTGACAGCTATTGAAAGAAATGGAAAAAATGCTTTTATTAGAACTGAACTGAATTGAACTATTGAACTAGTGCAATCCTCGGGCAGGAACAAAAAACCAACCTTATATTAATTAATTTTTGCTTTTGTGTTGAAAAAGATAAACAGCGCGCGCGCAGCGTAATGTCTACTAAAAATATAAAAAAACAAAGATAATAATAAATCAAAACTAATATTATTACCAATTAGATGTTCAAATTTTAGCAATTAAACATATAACTTCCGTAATACAAGCTAATCTTTAAAATTTTAAAATTAATTTCAGTGTCCGTTATAGAAATTTAATACTAAAAGGTGGTGATTAATTATTTATTTTGAATATTAAAAATACTGTTGTTCGATGCTTTTAGTATTAAGTTATTCAAAATAAATAATTTTCAATATTAAATTGAATTTCTGTAAGAGATCTGAATCAAGCAAGCTGATCATGAAGAGAACTAGATCGGAGATCACTCTTGTAATCGTAAGAAAGACGTAATAATAAATACATGATATAATTGTGTGTTTATATAATAAAATTAGGAATAAAAAGGAATATAAAAATCTTTATTCATAATTTTAAATTTAATTAAATATTTTTAATTATTTTATTTTATCATTTAATTTCTTTCTTATTTTCCGTTCATCTTGTTCATACGTTTTAAATATTTCACAAGCATCTCTTTCAGAGATAATTATTTATTTTAGGCATTATTATATTTAAATATTCAAAATATTTATTCAATCGCGAAATTAACGTAAAGTAAAATACAAGTTTTCCTCGTTTTGAATATCGCGGGAAATCAGGTAATTTTTCCGCCCAATAAGCACCGGCTGTTTTACCGAAGATTACGATATCCGTCGATATGCCACCTCTCGGGGGGACATAGTTTCCCCCCCTTGGTTCCCCTTGGAGGAACGTAGTTTCTTGGCACACAATTCAGCTACAATTCGTTTATATAAGAAGAAAGCGTTCCTCGAAGCGTTTTTCCAACTCTTTGGCTCGATTCACATTGCTCTGAAAAGAGAGAGAGTGCTCCAAAGCAATTAATTGTCAAATCAATTAATTGTTTCTGCTCGACGACAATTCGCATTGTCGGCGTCGCATGACATTCGTCGCCGAACTCGTCATCGTCCAAAAATACCGGTCGACGACGGCACGGTCGCGAGGGAAGGCCGGCTTATCTAGCGAGAGAATTGTCGAGGATAACGGTACATTTCGACGCTACGATGGATAAAACAAAGTTAGTAAGCAACGACCTGGAGCTGCCGCCGTTGCGCAGTTTGGACGATTTCCTCCTGGAGTCCGCGCGCTTCCAAATACCAAATCTGAAGGATTTGGAAAAGTGGGGCAACCGGGTAGTCAACAATCTCCTATACTACCAGACTAATTACTTGTTTATGTCTGTCATCATTTTTCTTATTGTTGGGTGAGTGGTTTTCAAATGCTGTCTGTTACCTTATATTTTGTTTTGTAAGATTAATATTTATTTATATTCATTTCTATTAATAAATTAATTTTAATGTTAGGGTGCGGTCAACTCGATGCTACAAATGTTTTGAAACATTTTTTTATTAGTCAATCAAATGCTTCGAAGCATTTGTAGTAAGACTTTTTAGATAGTCAAATGAGAACATGTCATTTTGCTATCAAGCATGCTATATTTAATTCGGGAATCTAAGGACAAAGTATTTCCATAAACTTTGTTGTCTGTCTATTGTTTTGTAAAGTCTTCATTGTAAGCAAATTGATGACAAGTTGTCATGTGTGCACTACTTTCAATGAATGGCTGTCAGTTTGCTATCAACACAATATATTATTATTTCTTAACATTTGATCTTAAAATTTCATTAACTAATATGTATTTATTTTCCTGTTGCTAATTCAATTCCACATAAGTTCCAATGTTGCTAATTCACAGCAACATCACAACTTGCAATGCATTAGTTTGTTTTATACATATGTTAAATTATGCTTGGCTATCTGGGTTTGATTGTATCTTCAGCTTAATTTATTTTTATCTTTCTTCTATATTTCTATAAGTAATAAAAAATAAAAAAGAATAAATTAAATCAAAGTTAATCCAATAGAAATGGATATAAATATATTTTTTCCTTGAAAGCCATCCAACAATCTTGAACTTTTTTCCTCTTTTTAACTTCTTAAAATTCTTTTGCTTTATTTTAGATATATAAGTTTTTATTTTTTATTTTATTTTAGATATATAATTTTTTTATTTTATTGAGTACAGTTTGAGTATTACTGAATTAATAACATTATTGAAATTCTCATATAAATATTTTGCTGTATTTTTAATGTAAATTTTTTTGTTTTCTATTTATTGGTTTGTTTATATGAATTTTTATATAGATTGTTGCATCCTGTGAAAATGTTGGTTGGCATGTTGGCGATGACGGCGATCTTGGTTACATTTGCCTATGTTTCTATGGAAGGAAGTACAATACATAATTTCAAAAGGCAGTATCCCGTGGTTGGAGTATTGTTTATAATATTTGCTGGATGTTTTATAACATATACTTTGGGATCTCTCCTAGTTTTCTTGCTGGGCATTCTATTACCTTTCTGTGGTAAATGTGACATTTAAATATTTTATATCATTACATATTAATTTTATCTTCTTTGACAAGAGTCAAATTAATTCATTGTTATCTTCATATCAATATTTTCAGTAACGTTTGTACATGCTTCGTTGAGATTAAGGAATATCAAAAACAAAATCGTCAATAAGATCGAGGGAATTGGTTTGAAACGAACTCCAATGGGTGTATTTCTGGGACATCTTGGTATGGAAGAAGAATTCTTTTCATAAATTTCTATATTTCTTTACTTTTATGTTCTTAAAATAAGTCGAGAAATGCTTTGCAATTTTATTAACAATTACATCATATCAATCCATATATATATATATATGGAGCTTTGACATCTATTTTTAAATATGCCTTAAACAAGCTTGAAAGATACATATATTTACTTTCAATATTGCTATGCTCTTTCTCATGGATATAGACAATATCAATCAAGAAAGAAATTCTTCAAAAATTATTTCAAGAATAAAATCAATATATTGTTAATTGTAAAATCATATTTTCTTAACTAGTCAATCGCCTCGCTAAATAATATTTAATGTGTATGTGTTATATTTTAAATGCTTAATATGTTATAATATTAAAAAAATTAATGAAAAAATCTATATATTTGACATTGTGGATGAAAGTAACAACCTTATTATTTATTAATATTGTAATTTACTATTTTTGGATAGCATTTTCTTTTTATCCACAACATATGTATATATACAATGTACAATATTCAGAGCATTGTCTTTGAATATATATGTTTATTACTAATGATATATATATATCTTAAGAAATATGTAGTTTAGATATTATATTAAACATTATTGTGTTGATTCCATATAAAATCTCTGTTTTATGAAGATTATCATTATATAATGTATTGAGACATATATATATATATATATATATACGAATAAAAGTACTTGAATTATTTTTCTTATTTTTTAAAGGAAAATTAATACGTGTTATCTCCAGAATATGTATCACTTTCTTCACAAAAGTTTTTCAAAAGCTATTTGTGTGTACTAATAATGTAGATCGTATATAATTTTTTTTCTTGTAACATATTTGATTTCAAATTTTGTTGAATTTATTCATTAACGTTGAATTTTGTTTATAACTTTTGAAAAAAACTAAGTTAAATGTATAATCATCCTTATATTAATTTTTAGTGAAGTCACACTATTTAACTATTGTTTATTTAATGCTATTAACTATAACTATTGTTTATTTAATTCTATTATATAGAATCTATTATTTATGAATTATATTATTATCTATATCTAATATTCTTTTATTTTTTCTTATTCCACTATATAGAAGACGTAACTGGTATGACCTTGCGCGCACAGACATCACTCATGCAATCGCCTCACTAATATTTTGCTTTGCACATCAAGTTCTGTTAAATTGACAAAAATCAATGTCGATAATCATTAATATTCGCTGCCACTGCTGCTCTAATTGGATTAGTGTCTCGTGCAGTGTTACGTTGAAATAAATTTGTAATATTTTTAGAATATAATTTGAGGGCTATCTACGGGAAAAAATGATCTACCTAATATGATTTTTAATTATGTTAATTGTTTAGTAAAATCATCATGTTACAATACCAAATATTTGTTTGCAGCATCAAATATTGAATTTATATATTTATATTAAGAATTGTTATTTTTTCTTGTGATTTTTATTAAGATTGTTTAACAAAGAAATAGCTATTTTTTAATGCTATATACAACGAATAATATCCTAGCATATAATACATGCTAGATATACATATATGTGATATCCATATTTAAAAAGCAAAGGACTGAATCTATCTATATATGATGTTTATATTTTGAAAACATATTTTAAATTAATTTGTATGTATATATATGTATATATATATATATAAATAATATATGTAAAACACATGGCAGATTGTTTTCATAAAACCTCATTATATATCATTTTTATTCTAAGTTTTGATGTTTTAGTATATAAATTCTTGTATTAGTCTTGTATTATAAAACAATATGTTCATCATTTTTGTACCATTTATATAACACATTTCATTATATATGTATATTAATATCAATATTCTATTTTAGTTATTAATAAATAAAATCATCTATTCAAAGTATATTAAAAATTAAAAATAATATTTTATGGAAAATAAATTAAATTACACATATAAAAAGGCAGGCATTTATGAGAAATATCAATATGGTTAAAAAAATTGAATGATATATTTAAGTACACACTTAATAGATTCAAAGAGAAATCTTTTCTATCATGTATATTACAGAATTATTATATACATTGAGAAATAAATAAAAATACAGATGACATGAAATATTTTTATAGTTGATGCATAATATCGGTATATCGATATATTTTATTAATTATAATTAATATATTTATAAACTATTTTGATCTATATCTATCTTAATTATGTATCGGCAGTTTTAAGGTAAACTAATTATTTTGATGAAAACATCATACATTGACATTCCAGTACTATCTGCGATGTATATAGTGTGAAATGTTTCCATAATCTTATTTTTTTTATTTTAATTATATGTTGTAATATGGAATCTTACTTATTTTATATTTTGAATCACATTGACGAAAATTTCATACATAATGCTTTAAAATGTTATGTTATCACTGAATAATACCATAAAATGATTAAAATGTAGTAATTTATGTGCCATTTGATATTTCATAAAAATGTGTAACAACAGTTATATGCCATTATGGACGGCACTTATAACATTTTCAGAAATAGTAATGATAAAAGTCTAAAGTAATATACGATGGTAGTTCGGCAGTAATTACATACATTTGTAAGTGATTTCTCTTATAAGTCGCAATAATCTTAAATATTTTATATTTTAAGATAGAAAGATTGAATGCAAATTTTTCGTATGACATGAACACTGAATGGCAGTGCTTATTCATTTGTCTTATATGAAAAGATGTCGTATCCTTTTAGTTATACTTAAATAAACGTAACAAACTTGTTTAATCAATTATGTTTTTTCAATTTTAAGGAACACATCTGTTTCTAAAAGTTTAGCTATACAATTTTTACAAATTTTCGTAGCAACAATAAAAAAAAAGCAAAAATTTTTAAGTGAATATTGTTTCACGAAAAATCTAAATTGAAAAATTATAATTAGGAAGCAATTATGTGAATCATAGAATATTACTATATCTTCGTTATGAAGACTGTGTTTGTTGGAAATAGAATTGTATCTAACAGACGAGTATTTAAAGACAGTGCACCAACATTTGTCTTCGGAAACGGTACCAAAAAGGTATATTCTGTTGATGGAAAAGCCATTTCTTCCATTTTAACCAAAAAATCCTATAAAGATTGCAATAGTAGAATTGTAATATAACAAAATAGAAAATTTTCCTTCTACATGTCGTGTAACTTTGCAAAAGCTTAAAAAGATACTTAAATACATACTTCTATAGTATCTGTTGCACACATTGATATTGTTTCCTTTGCACCATTTGGCAGTCGTAGGCAGAGCCGTAGGAAAGGTTCGTCGTCTGGATTAAAAAATTTTAACATAAAGAATATGTTAAAAGTATAAATTATGTATAAATTACACTTACTTGTTTCAGGTTTAACTGTATCTGATTTTAATTTTTCATCTTTTTGCTGCTGATTAGCTGCACATTCATTCAGCCTTCTCTTTTTATTAAAAACAGCATTGCTACTACTTGGAGCATTCAAATTTGTAACATTATCAGATACCACATTCTCGTTTCCTACACAAATATTTAATAAATAAAAGAAGTAAAATGTGTTGCATGTTGAAAAGAAATTGATTTTATAAACTAATTGATATGATATAATAACGATATATGTAACTTTATGAAATTATTTCTGATTTTAAAAATACTAACCAGAATCTACAATTTTTTCTGACAAAAGTCTAGAAGTTTTGCTGCTAGGACCGCATTCCTACAAAAAAAACATCACGATAAAAAAATTAATCATGTAAGATTAAAAAAAATTAACTGATAAAATTTAAACAAACAAATTTATACAAACATTCTTCAGTTGATCAGCTAAACTGTTTCGTTTTGGAGGCGTCGTGGGAAAATTATTCCAATCTTTAGTGTTAGATGTAACTTGTGTAGGAGATGGATGTGTGCTTTCTGGAGATGGATGTGTACTTAATACATCATTTAAATCAGATATTAGACTATCCACAGTGATGTTATTATAAGTTTTCATACATTCTCCTGTTCTAGGATCTACAATTGCTAAGTAAGGATAAACCACTACATTGTAAAAGTCTATATAACGTCTTCCATCTGAAGAATTAGATAAAACCTGGTGGTAACAAATGTAGCTCAATGAATCAGAACATTATATAAACTTGTGAGAATATGATATATATTTATAATATATGACATACTTGCCACAAGATAAAGTGATCTTTTATAATCTCCTGGATATGTTCATTTGGCCATACATCTCTGTTAAGAACTTGACAACTAAATTCCTGTGGATTCTGAACATTGACAAGCAACCAGCGATTCAATGTTTTGGCATGATCACGTGCTTCCATAAAGGAACCCCAGAAAGAGAATATTACATGGTGGTCGGAACAAATCTTCCAGTCGCTTTGTCTTCTTTTGAGACATGTTCTTTGTACCAGTTACTCTACGGGTCATCTCTTCTTCTTGTCGTTCTATATTCAATTATATTATATATTATATATATATATATATATATATATATATATTCAGTATATATTATATATATTCAAATTAATATATACAATACAATAATACATACGGGTTTCTACTGCAAAATCTCTAAATCTATCAAATACATTATTCGACAATTGTGGCAATGAACACACTGGCTCTGACGGCACCAGGATTTCACGCGTGGGCAATATCGGAGCTCTCACTGGTGGCTCGGGATTCGCATTTTCGGTTTCTGGTGGTCTGCTACCCTCGAACATCAAACTGATCGCCATCTCCACATTTCCATCAGTCAGCGCCAAGTACTGTTGAGCCGTCGCCTCATTCTCGCCTAGATGGAAAATATAAATTGAACGTCTGGTATGTCGTTTGTATTCGTTAATATCGAGATATTGGTCTCAATACAGCTTACAAAGTTATCGCGATTCACTCGAACTTAAGAAAAATCATGTGTTTATCACGACGCTGCCTGGCGACATTTAACCTGGACGATAATTTTTATATTAATACACGATTAATACTCACCCGTCACTTCAATAAACTTTTCCACTAATTCACGATCCATCGTGAGTACTTTGAGTTTAAAAGAATATTTCTCACTACACGAGTATACAATCGTAGAGGAAAATACCTCTAAATATCCCTCTCTTTCTTTCTCACGCTCCTTCTACCCACTCACTCATCATGCTATCACCACATACCAAACAACACCAAGTGACATCTCGAGCATCATGATTCGTTTCATCACCCCACTATATTGCTCAGTTTCTGTGTCCGACTATTATAAGTAAGATCTTTTTTTTTGTTATAATTTTTTCGAAATATTTAAGTCTATTAGAATTATTCAAATTTGAAATTATCTTTATAATTATAACTGATGTTGTTCATTTATCAATACATTATTAGCCACAGTAGGCCTATTCTTTTTGAACTGAACTTCTTGCATCATTCAGTTTTTTCTCTTTTTTTTTTTTAATAAAAAAGAGGAAAGGAAACCGCAAATAATTCAATTAAAAAAAAAAAAAAAACATGTCCACGATCCTAAAAATCAATTTGAGATGTTGCAAGAAAAATTGATTAATCATATTATATAAATTGGCCAAAATAATCATTGCAACTGGTCAATTTTTCTTCTATCCGAGATCTCGAATCAATTTCTAGCATTATATATACATAAGGTTTTAAGCCAATATTCCTTAAATATTTTATATATTTAAGGTTGTCTTAAGTTAACAGTTACTTATACGTTACCTTATTGATTGAAATGTAATTTTAAAATGATCTTAAATATAAGAACTAACTACTGTCCATAATCAATTCTTATTACATAACAGTCATAAATGAGGATTGATTTAGTGTTAGTCCACAATAAGTATTTAATCTTTAAATCGTAAGAAATTGACCAATCATAGTCGATTATTCTTATTCGATTTCATATTTGATTATAATTGATCAATTTCTTACTTTTTAAAGCTTAAACTATCTATTGTGGACCGACACTAAAGACTATTGTACGTGAAAAAATTTTAGTATCGTAAGGTCGTAGGCGAATTGACCAACTACAATCGATTATTTTTAGACTATAAGGAGAATAATTGATTCTAATTGGTCAATTTGCTTATGATCTTATGATTACGATTAAAATTTGATGCAGAATAATGAAATTTGAATGATCATTTTTTATTTTAATATTTTGACGCTGAAAATGAGCGTCGATCACCATAAAAAAAATATCTTAAAATTATCTTAAATACAAGAATCGTCTATAAATACTGACCTTAATAATGTAATATGCTCTAATATTTTTATCGATGTTTAAAATACTTAAAAATTAATTACTTTTTAATTACTTAAAAATTTTTTAATGTTGAAATTATAAGAGGTGATTTTACAGATAACAGAAAATCCAAAGTCAGAATATGAGATGTCTTTTATTATTGGTAATTATAAAAGATAAGTGTCGGTCCACAATAAGTGATTTAAGCTTTAAGAAGTAAGAAATTGACCAATTATAATCGAATACGAAAAGAATAATCGATTATGATTGGTCAATTTCTTACAGTTTAAAGATTAAATACTTATTGTGGACCGACACTAATGGTCGATGAGATCACAGATTTTCACTATATTTTATGAATTGTAAAAAATTTCAAAAATTGATCAGATACATTAAGTATCGGAAAAATAGCAATATGGGAAAATATAATATAGGAATAAAAAAAATTATGCCACAGTTAAAATTTCAACAATTGTAATTTTCAACATTTCTAAAATTTCAAATTTAATAAGAATTAATAAATATATATAAGAATTAGTAAAAATGACGAGAAATTATATTTTGATTTGGACAATGGTGTCGATAATTAAGTCCCGGTCTACGATAGGTGAGATTTAAGACTTAAGCCACAAGAAATTGACCAATCATAGTCGATTATTCTCTTATTCTTTGATTCTGATTCGTCCATTTCTTATGGCTTAAAGCTTACTACACCTATTGTAGACCGGGACTAAAGCAGTGTTTACAATGAGATTTTAAGACATAAGACTTAAGAAATTGGCTAATCATAGTCGATTTATAGAAGAATAACTGATTGTGATTGGCCAATTGGTCTTACGTCTTAAAGTCTAAATTGTAGATACCGCTTTAGTGTCGATCCACAATAAATATTTAATCTTTAAATCGTAAGAAATTGACCAATCATAGTCGATTGTTCGTTTCATATTCTATTATAATTGATCAATTTCTTACTTTTTTAAAGATTAAATCATCTATTGTGGACTGACATTTAAGCCTAGTCATAATATAACTGTGCTGTATAACGTATGACGTAAGGTTGTTAAGCATAAGAAATGAAAATAATTCATTTAAATAGATTCTTGTGGACTAGGCTTTAGGGTTGGTTTATTGAGGCCGTAATCTATTAACTTATGCCGTAACTGTAAAAAATTGACAAATCATAGTCGATTATTCTTCTAGAATTCGATTATGATTGGTCAATGTTTGAGCATTTAAAGAGATGGCGCAACACGTATATTTCAAATTGGTTTAGGGACTCTAATTTCAAAGATACTGATAGAATATAGAATTTTTGTACCGGTTATATTGTGTGTTTGAATTTCCGGTACACGACATTTGATTGGCTGCTGTCAGCATACTGCTCTGTGTAGTTTGGATACAAGAATTTAAATATGATTGTTGAACAAAATATCGTAGAATTAACGCAAAAATGAAATATGAACTACTTAATTGTGTAATGTAATTGACGTTATGTATTAAAAATACGATTGAAAAATTTTTATAAACATCAAAACATACAACATCATTTTGGAAGAAAGAAGAACAAAGAAAAGAAAGTGATGGAACAAATATAAAGAGAGATGAACGTCACCGGTAAATTATTGCACAATAAAATTCGCGAATTACGCCCGGACTTGTCGTCTGGAATCACATCCGAGATCTTGAGCAAGATTTGCGATGATCCGAATACGCAACCTTTCCTCGAATGGTTCTGCAAGAATGTTAGTAGTGCCAATATTCTCTCCAATGAAGAGATGAAACTGTAAGACATATCTCATATAGATCACAATTAATTAGAACAGCTGATTGGAATTCTAATAGTTTCACCTTTTTGCAGAAAAAATATATTGGAAGATGCAGGTGAATGGTTACAGGGTGAAGCGTTGGATGCTGCGTTGGAAGAGGCTACTAAAGATTGCCCAAATTTGTTGCAACTTGTCAATTTAGAAGATACATGTAAAGAGGATTTATTTGTAGAATACGAAGTATTGAAGGAAAGCTATAGAGAAGATGAAGAATATCTACAATCATTAAAGCATAGCATAAAAACTCTAAAGTAAGAATTCCTATAAAAATACATGTCTTTTTTTTCTCTAAATATTTGTATGTTAAATAATTTAAAAATGGATTTATTACAGAGAAGTCGAAAATAAGCTGGATGATGACATTGAAGAAGCAGAAACTGTGTTGAATAAAGAACAGATTGAAACAGAAAAGGCATATGATGATTGTGGCGTCATGCTAAAGGAATTTGATAAGGATAATTGTCATTTTTCTAAGGATATTGACAACCTTTTAAATGTGTATGCCGATGCTGCTAAAAATGTGATTATTTGAAAATTTATGACTGACTTCACAAATATTTATCTCGTTTACTAATTCTTATCTTATTCTTTAGCAAGGAAATGCAGTATTGTGGTCACAAATGCCTCTAGACTTATTTATTAAACAAATAGAGTTGTATAATAACTACCTGGGTATTCATATAAAGAAGCAATTTGGAGTCAGTACTAAGAAAGAAGAGCAAGAAGAGGATTCAGATTATGAATCTTTAAGTACTATGAATGATAGTAGGGATAAACAGATGGATGGAAGGATGCAAGAGTTAGTCTTGTGCAAGACAAAGTAAGTAAACAAGTATTTCTTTTGAGAAATTCATTAAATATATCGTTTTTTATTTTGTACAGTTTAATGAATTCTAAATTAGAAGAGATCCGTGCTAGCATTCAAGAGGAATCTTGCATGACAATGTTACAGTGTGTACAGGATATCTACAATGGTGGGGTCTTGAAAGTGCCTGAAGATAACAAATTGCAGTAAATAAAAATACTATTCATATACCAATACTACTTCATTTTGTTACAATTAATGCTTTTTTTATGTAAAAGAAAAAATATTTAAATATAATTTTTATTATTTATTAACAGCGATGAAATACAAATGTTAACAATGAAAAGGGATATCTTGGAGCAGAACGTTGAACTTTTGCGGGATCAACAATTACCAGAGGTAGAGCAATTTGCGGAAATGGAGACGATAAAGATTTTGAAAAATGATGCACTCGCCCGTCTCGAACGGAGGAAAGCTCGTCTCGAGAAGCTCAAGAATTTACATTCTCTCGCAGGAGAGCATGGACATGTTCATGTAGACTTGCTCTGTATACTAATGGAGATGCAATCTCGTTGCTTACGTGAGGTTGCCGAATTCATCGCTGATGCTCGTCACTACATCATCACGGAGTATAATCTCTCGTCTACAAGATGTGTTAGTAATTAATGTATTTCTTGCAATTTCTCAATTTTGATTCAATATTTGAATAGAAATTTGTACTATAATAATTTGCACTATTTGAATAGAAACTTGTACTATAGTAATTTACACTATTTATAGAAATATATGAAATGTGTAGGAAATCATGCAACAAGAACAAGACGAATATACGAATCTCATGACGCAATCTTCAAAAACATATAATACATTTAATCAAATATTCACATCCATAATGCTCGGTGATGATATTTCGGACAAATCACTCTCTTCCGCATTGAAAAGATACGACGACTTAATAGCCGATAATGCGGAAAAAAAGAAATTAATGTTGGAAATATATTTGAATAATAAAATTGACAAATTACAGAAAATGTAAGTATTTAATTATTTATTAATTATTATTTATTTTTACATTCATATTGTATATTCATATTTCTTAATTAGACTTTCATTACATATTTTAATTTCTAATTATATATTTTAATTATTTATTTATTTATTAATCACTCTTATGTATTAATAATGTTTGCACATTTCTTTGAATTTAGAGAGCATGAAATTAACAAAGATTACATGACTGAAACACAAACTGGACCAACAATCAGCCTCAAGCCAATTTCATACGAAATAAGCTCCAAATGCGAAGAAATATCTGCCATTGTCCAAGATGTACAAGGAGATATAACAAGAGTTAGAAATCAGTTTAAAGAACGAATGGTAGCTATAAGTACATTAACAATTCAAAATGAAAATTGTATAATGTTTGCTAATAATTCTCATTTTACAGAGAATGGGCACCAATCTAAAACGCGAGAAGGACATCTTGTGGCAAAGGTTCTTAGCAGAGCCAGATACACTAAGAATGAGGTACGAGGAAGCGAAACAAAAAGCGAACGAGTCTCATTTTGGAGATACGTAAAAAATAAGCTTAGTCAGTAAATCAAGTCTAAACCGAATCTGTATGAACAAGTTATAGGCACAAATTTTATAGGAAAAGAAGAGAAATACTTGCGTATTTTTATATAGTTTTATAAATTAAAAAATTACAGAATAAATGTAGAGTTAATGTGATATTAAGTAAAACAAAGATCCAAGTTCCGTTACTCATTTTCCTGCATATATTAGTCTCGCTCTTCTAATCTGGACTCTTTTAAGTTTTTAGAGGAAATCCGATTGCTGTTGTATGTTTTCGCGAACGTAATATGCGCGGAGTATTACGTGGACGCGATAATGAATGATTCGTCCCAAGGACGAGCGTGTGTGTGCGTGCACGTTGAGCGCAAGCGCGTATAAACACGACGAGGGATGACGTAGAGGAGGTGCCTGAGTGTAACCTTGATCCGCGTACATCGATGTCCCCTCTCTTTCTTTCTCTTTTGCCCTGTATCTCATCGACGTATCCCTCCATCCTTTCCACATCGCTTCCTCTCTAATCATCGCTCACGATATTTCGTTGAAAATTGCTTCCGAGGGGGAACTGTGTGTGGTATGTGTGTATATATGTATATATATATATATATATATATATATATATAGGAAGTATTAAAGTAAAAATAGTAAATAAAACTTAACCGGGACGGACCGTTTAACCTTCCGGTTTTAACCTTTTTGGGTTAAAAACTAAAGGTACCGCGGTAATTAACTTTTCCCGTTAAAAACGGGTAACGGCCGTTTTACTTAACGGGGTTCCCGGACTTAGGGCGGTTCCCGTTCCCGTCCCGGTTTTTCTTCGGTACCGGCCCGGAAAGTAACCTAAAAATTAGGGAAAACCGGGGAACCGGTGGTTCCGGTAAAGGACCACCGGTTCGGTCGGGAACTTGGTAAGGACCGAACCCACCGGTTTTCCCGTTTTTACCCCTTAAACGAGGAAAAGTAAGAAACGGGACCGGAAACGAGTTGGTGGAAAAGAGTCGAGAGAGAGGGTGGGAGGAAAAGGGGGGAAGGAGGGGGAGGGAGAGAGAGAGAGAGAACACGGAACGGGGGAAGTGGCAAAGGCGAGGAGTATTATCGATTCGCCGGGGGACTCGTGAGTTAACGGTTTGTTTACACGAGCCGCGCCGAGCGCGGGGACGGACGAGCACCGGCTCGCGGAGGAGGGCGGCGAGGAAGTCGCGCGGAGCGCATGCGCCACCCGACCAAAACAATAATAACATAGTAGAAGGTTCATGGCTGGCGGACGAACGGGCGGCCGCTCGCTCTTCGCTCTCCGTGCTCGTTGAAGCCTCGCTGGCTGGCCGCCACTCCGCGTCGAAGAGATCGGAGGAGTCACGCGCCAGGTAAACAAAGGCGAAGGCGCAGCGCGAGACGTTCGCATCCGCGCCGTGTGTACCTGCTGATAAAGCTGGTGCGCCGACAATTCCGTTGACTCTTGCGGGGAGCGAGTTACGTGAGGGATACAAGTGTGAAGAACCCGAAAACCAGAGTACCGAGACTACCTCTAGGTCGCGACGCAGTAAGTTCCGACTGACGTCCGCGGCTGACATTTATGTATATAAAATCGACACCGCGACAACTTTGCGAGTCGTCACCCCGAGCGACAAGTGCGGAGTAACGAGACGTGGAATTGAGACTAACCGACTACCTCAGGATAAAACGGGAAAGAGGTTAAAAAAAGGTAGAGAAACCGAGATAGAGAAGGAGGAAACATCGTCGGCTGATATGTCCGATTCGAAAGCAGGAGCACTGCACGAGATACCATCTTCCCGTCGAGCCAAAATAATCGCTCGCTCTCTCCGTGTGTCCCGAGCCGCCTCTTTCTCTCTCCCACCCCCGGTGCGTTACCTCATCGGAGCGGAGTAGGTGCGTGTAACAAGCGTGTGCGCGCGTTGTGCAACCCGCCGATCCTCGTAGAGAGAGCGAGCGAGCAAAAAGGAGAGAAAGATTCGGGCGCAGACACTGTGTACGTTCGATCGGCCTGGAAGCAAAACAATGCGCTGCTGGTGTAGCGCGTAGCGGAGGGAAGGAGTGGTATACCTGTGTGCGTGTGCCTGTCGTGTACATATACGTGTACCTACAGCTGCTGCTGCTGCGCGGTGCGCTGGTGTGCGTTTGTTTATGCGCGTAGATTAAACGCGCGCGCTCGTACTCGCGCGGCGTCGTTCATTCAACAGCCAGCCGCGCTTCGACGCGCGCGAGACTCGTACCGTCGTGCGTTTTGTCGTCGTTTCGAGAAAGCGAGCGAGCGAGCGAGCGAGAAGCAAGAGGGACAGAGAGCGCCGACGGAGGATATCGCTGCGCGCGTATTTGTCCAGTGAATCACGCGCGTCCCGTCGATTACACACGGACGCGCCTGGTTGTGTGTCGCCGGATACACCGGTGCGCATATATAACCGCGATTGTGTATTATTGTTGACGTGTCACGGCGGCGACGTCGTGCGAATCAGACGAAAGTCAGTTGCTAATCGGAGAACGACCAGTCGCTCTAATCTTCTTCCGCGTGGGAAAAAAAAGGAAAAGTGGTCTAATTTCCTCACTGAGTTTTTTCGCACTTGCAAAAAGGGTTTTATTTCCTTCAAAAGGAAAAGCAACGTTTCCTCTCCTACTGTCAGTCCTTCGTGTATTGTGTGCCGAGATTCCAGGTAAATACTGAAAGAGAAAAGAGAGAGAGAGAGAGAGAGAGAGAGAGAGAGAGAGAGAGAGAACAAAACACAACGAGAATTAAAAGGAGAAAGGACGAAAATACAGAAGGCTCTGAGAGAGAATCTATTAAATTCTTACTGCATAGTTTACTAACACGATTGTAGTTGGTGGCGGACGCACGAACATCTATTGTGAACCGAGCTTTTAGGATGCCAAGTGCCGAGGAGACGACGTATCTGATCGGCGTGATGCCGGACAGCGCGACGCAAGCGGATGCGTTCCTCACGCGCGACGTTGACTTGCTGGTTTCACAGATTAAGGAAAATCTGCGACTGTCCAGTCTGAAAGCCAAGTCCAGCATCACTCACAAGAACAGTCGGCCGTCGCCATACCGGGTGCCAGCGCGTTCCTGGGCGGACCCCGCGGCCGGTTGTGAGATTTGTGGTCTGCGGTCCAACGGCCAACAGCAACAACAGCAGCAGCAGCAGCAACAGCATCACTTGACTGCTGGTCATCACCATCATCATCATCATCATCATCATCATCATCATCATCATCATCATTATCACAATCATTTAAAAAGGAGCGAAAGGAGCAGAGTAGATGATGATCCGTATGAAGTGCTCCAAGAACTATTACGGGAAGGCGGTCTCATCAAAGAGGCGGTCAAGAGGTTACAGGCGAACCTTGACGAACTCTCGAGCTCGGAAGTGGACGAGGATGATGTAGTGGAGGAGGATGAAGACGACGTGCGACGATCCAGCGGTGGATATCGCAGAAAACCGTACTTCTACGACTCCGAGGATGAGCCGTTACCGCCGATGTACGAGCCCCTGGAACTGTGAGCCACACGGCGGCAGCAGCGCCTGGAAAAAACTCGTATGGACGTTCCTGCATAAACGACGTCGCTGTTCCTCACGGTCTTCTCGATCTGGTTTCTTTCATTTCTTCTGAAAGGGATAAAAAATTTTTCGTGAAATGTCGTGAAACGCGCCGAACGTTGCCTTTGTCCGTTTATGATTTAGGACGGACAATTTGCTTTTCGAAAACGAACTAGAGTCCCTTCGAAGAGGGAAGCGAGTAAAAAGGAGTAAAAGTACCTTCTGTGAGAAACACATTTTCTTTATTTTCTCGCGTGGGAGTCCCGGGACAACGACGGCGTGCGATGTACGTATATGCGCGTATGTTGTGTATGTATGA